TTTTTTTTTTCGATACAAAATAAATATTAATGTATACGTTCGAAGCATATGGATACCCATTTTAGGAACAATAACATAGTTTTTAAAATTTATTTTAAAAATTTAAGATAGATAATATATTTTATTTCCTCCAGGTAAATTATATGTTATTTGATAAAATTTTATAATTTTGATGATACATCAATATTAATTGAATTTTAGAACAACACTATAATTTAAATTTTAAAAAAAACCATATTTTTGTCTGTTATATAATTTTTAAGCCATTTATATAAAATACATCTCTATTAGAATCTTAATGTTTACAATAAACTTCATAATACATACTGTAATATTATAATAAGCCATAAAAAAATACAATTTTAACTAATAGTAGGAACGAAAATGTTATTAACTACTATACCAGTTTGACCTTTGTTGAATAAGAAAAAATAAACATTAAAAACTTATATTTTAACATAAAAGAATTATGAAACAAATATAATAAGATATGATGGTGTTTTACTAGATAGATGTGTATGAGATAATAAGATATGATATTCGTTAATATTTAGTTCTCCCTTTTTCTTAAATATTCGAATGTTTATTATCGAGCAAATAAACAAAAAAATAAAAAAAAATATATAAATGTATATTTTATAGATTATAAACATTTTTCGCGAAGATTGCATCTTCGCAAAAATACCGGATAAATGAAAAAAATTCGTTTCAGAATATTCATAATTTAATTTTAGTTGTAGAAAAAAATGGACTAACCTTTGAACAAAAAATATATTTGCAAACAGAATTAATTACGTTTAATCAAAATATTAATTAATAAATAATAAAAAATCAAGCAGGTATCTAGTTTTTGTATTTGTTGTTATATTTAATAGAAGAAAACAGTTATATCCGAGTTCACGGCGTGGTTAATTTTTAATTGAGTTTCGTTTATATATTTTGTCATTTGATTCGGACGAAATTCTTTAAAATAAATTAAGACAAATATTAATAATTACCTTTGCTCGTAAATTAAAAATCGTCATTAAAAGTTTGATGGACTAGGAGGAAAATGTATATTCTCAAAAAATAAATTATGCTCTCAATAATTAATAAAAATATTAACATTTTATACAGGGTGAAAATTTCTGGAAACTATGTTTACGCTCATTTGAAGAAAGAAATTACTAGTATGACTCACAGTAGAATACAGATTATTCATAGCTGACTACCTACTACAAATACTTTAAATTTAAAATCGAATTTTTCCGATAAAATGACTGATATAAACGTTATTTCGATAGAATATTTTAATCTCTTTGGTACCTATACTAATAWCATAGTATTATTTTGTTGCGAATTTCCATTAATTGCTTTTATAGTAGTTTCAATAKCTTTGAAACATACTTGGAAAAAAAATCAACATGAAAGCATTTAAGGGCGAGATATAATATTGTATTTTTCGTAATTAAATATTGTTATAGATAAGATTTAGTGAACGACGACAAACTTTTACATTGATCAACTGAACTGATATTAATTTTGATACAAAACCGTTATCAGTGATATTAATAATACTAATTGTATTTTTAAAAGATTTAAAGTTCTGGAAATGTTATTTTTAGTTATATATAAAGCATGTCAATCAAAGAGATTGATATATATAGAGGATACGCTTCAGGGTGACTTAAWATGTATAAATCAGTGCCATAAAATCCCATGAATGAACACTCTACAATAATAGAATTGGAAAACTTATCTGTAGCTACTCGATGTATTCTAATGCGAAATCGTAAGCCTGGCTAAAATGATAAAATGATAATGAAAAATATACTTTCAGAATAATGAAATTCAAAATTTTATTTATACTTCTAGTCTAGCTGTTATTTCATTTTATCATRTTATCCTTGGACGATCGAAGTCAGGATATTTTGAAACATCGTTTAAATTATTATATATCAAAACAGAATTATCAAAAGCAAACAAAAATTTAAACATTATGCTAATAGGCARTTACCATAAATACATTTTGACGATTCATTCAACAAAAAAAATTCGAGTGGTAAAAATTTGATATATTGTAATTTGTAAGCATGATGATATTAAAAAAAAAAAAATAAGATAAGTAAATATAAATAGAGTGGTAAATATTTTAGAAAAATAGTTTTTTTTAAAATTAAGTGTAGTAATTAAAAAATTGATTTAGAAAAATAATTTTTTTCTATAGGTAATTTTTTTTTTTATTAAGCGTATTCCAAGTTAAAATTATTTCATAACATTAAGTTTTTTGCAGTTTGCATCTTATCCTATATTATATTATGCCACGTTTKAAATTCTACTCGAGGTACAAAATGCGTTTCTCTAAATTCGGACCATTCTTTTTCGCAACACAAAACGTAATTTGCAGTTGGACATAATTACCGACTACAATAGTACCTTAAATACGCAAAACGGCATCGGGACACTCACCACAGGAAGAAGGGCAGCCAGCAGACGATAAACGTTCCCATGATGATGCCCAACGTCCTGGCCGCTTTGTGCTCCCGCTTCATCTTGATGATGTTCCTGTTGTCCCGGGAAGGGGTCGAGTGGTGATCGTTTGGCGCCAGCGTGGTCCTGGACGAAGACCCGTTGGCAGTACCGTTCGATCGCAGCTGATTCTCGGCCAGCTCCCGGTTGTAGTTGATCTGCTGTCCGCAACTGATCCTCGCGTGTATCTGCTTCTCCTGCCGGTTCGCCTCTTTGAATATCGCRTGGTACGTGAACAGCATGATCGTGCAGGGTATCCAAAATGATATGGACGACGACACGATCACGTACACCTTGTTCACCTGAAAAACGAAACACGAACGAAAGTTTTTAATACGAACACACACAATTATTCGGTGAAAATCGATCATTATATTGTAGGTATAGTTGAACTTGACGTTATGGAGGAACAGAGCTAAACTACGAATATGCTTTGTTGTGGGCAAAGACGTRTTCGGAAACGACGGATTGAATAGTGTGTGAAAGTTAATGCCTGCAGCGAGCCGTTCGTTTAAAATATTTTAAGCGACCTGCACGAACAAGAGCTACAGAATCGAAAATATTACAAAATAAATGCATTAAAATTTGTAAAATGCTTTTACTTTGCTATTTTTTTTTTTTAGCATTCTAGAGTAAAAAAAAAAAATGTCGCCACTCAAAAAATATCATTAATCATCATCATTGATCAACACACATCTGAAATATGCTGTTCGATAACAACGAGTTCTGCAGTGTATGAAAACATCAATAAACAACAAGTACCTATACTGCAACTGCTATAGTGGAATTCAAATATTTACTAGTATTTTATTAACTCTAAAAATTCATTATTCTTTTACACCCTTTAGCACAGTTCAATTATTTTAAATTTTGTGTAAGACATAAATAATACAATATTTCTTAGAAATGGTACAACAATCACAGAACATTTCGTAATATTATTGTCTGACATGAATACAATAAGTCTGGGTATAACAAAAGAACCTATTTCTGGTTTCAAAAAATGCGACGCAATCGAACAGACCCCAAAATAGGTAACAGTTTTTTTTTAGCCTTATTTAAAAAATACTTATTCAACGATGGAAAAATTCAATAAAGTAATGCAGAATGTAATTATTGCACAATAACTCTATTTTATTTTATTTTCAAATAGCGATGTTTAAAAAATTTCCCATCAATTAATGTGATGGGAAGTTTAGTGTAGGTGGTTCCTTAAATAACGCATGTAAATAGATATTCTCGGGTTAATATCCAAACAGTAAAATTTATGATAAATCATAAATTATTAAACACATGATTTTTACAATATTAACTGATTATTATTATAATAAGATACTAACAGTTGAATTACAACAATAGCAAAATATTATTGTGGGTCTTCTTATGTAAAAAATGACTATTATTGTATTATTAAATTAAATTAAATATTAATATTAATAAAAAATATTATATTATAATACACGGTGATTTACTAAATATGGTCACTTATTTTACTTCTTTAATAATGCAGCTAATTCTAAAATATACCTACCTACAAAATGGATTTCCCAAATCTTAAGATTATTTTTACTACTAAAGGATTAGCCTGTTATGATACAAATTTGTTTTTTAGCAAATGTAAATGTACCAAAATCAAAATTTATTCGAGTAGTATTTAAGTTATTTATAATTATGTCCTAAGGCTATTAGGTTTGAAAGATATCATGGCTAAGGTGATTTAAAAATTGTAGTAATTAATATTAATCTATCAATAATACTTGATATAATTTTACATAATCGTATGTAAATATTTTATATTTTTGTAAACTACTAGTTCGATGTTTTAACTATTTCCTATCTATTTAATAATTTGAAGTAAAAGTTGGTGATAATTTGAAAAACGAAAGTTTGTATCGTTATAGGTCTGCTTTAAGTAGTTTAAAAAATAAAAAACACAAGAATATTAAAATAAGGTCTTGAAGTGGGTATAAATATAAAATTAAAATTAAATTATACTCCAAAAATCATAATTTGGTTAAATTTGTTGTTAAAAGCAAAAAATAATTGTGAGCATACTTGGTGAATCACCTTGAATAACCGAAACTTAAAAAAGGAATAGAAATGTATATTGTTATGAGATGTAAAATATAAACCAATTTGCACCTCCAGTTGTATTTAATTATAATATTATTCAAACTCTCTCGACAAACTTCGCCATTAATATCATCAGCTCAATTAAATCGCTTAATTTAAAACAAAATTACTGTTGTAAATTCTGACATACTTAAAATAAAATGAATACAATTTTTTTTTTTTAATTTAGAATAACTAAACAAATATCATACGTATTCTAACGTTAAAATAAATATAATTTTTTTATCTGATTAATTGAAAAAAGGATTTATTATATAATTACAATTTACTATAATCAATAAATAATTTATGAATTTACTATAATAGAAACTATCTTCCACAAATAAAATGAGCTACGTATGAGAAATTGCTGATGCGAAGATATAAGATTTTTCATTTTTCAGTTTCACTTAAGCAATTAATATACTTTTTTAAATTTTTTAMGTAAACCACGTAATTAAAATACACAATAGAACAAAACAAACTGAAATTGCATAGAATTCAAAACGYCACAAAGCTATTTCACGAGACATTGTTTCCTATGTATTTATTTTAGCACAGTTCTATAGTGACACGAGTCTTTTGTCTGTTTTGTTTTCAGTTTTACTAATAACACTGTCTACGCGTAGATATCAGTTTTGAACAGTGCGGGGTGTATTTATTTTGCTCTTCGCAATCTACGGAACTTTGAATTTATCAAATATTATATTATTATATAAGCAATATCCCTGCGTCATCCATTGAGATCGAAGGGCTGACATGCGTGCCATTAATTTATTTAAGCTCCCTCTAATTTCGAAAAGTTTTAAAGAATGCCATCCATTGTTTGTGTATTGATCATCAAATCAGATTGTTATAATATCATAACCATGTTACAAGTATTAAGAAATATTAACAATAATTAAATTCAATAAGCAATAACTAATGGAGTATATTACATATAATTAACCTAATTCATCTTTTATTTGTTATAACAATTAAAATAATTAATGTAACAGAAATAATGTTAAGTTATTTCTTATTCATATGATATTACTTAACGAGGTTATCAATTTACGGAGACATTAGGTAAAAAATAAAATAATTTACGTAGATGGTATTAATATCGAACGAACTAGAAATCGTACATTGAGTGTGGATTTAATTTGAGTTCGAAAAAACAATGTCAAACAATGAATGTCTGTCTGAGATATTGAGAGCAAAATAATTTAAGTTTTAATGAACTGATGACTTTGATTAGGGTTCTTTGGTGACAGACAAAACATCTTATATTGATTGTTCAATAAATTTTCCTCTTACCATGACAAACAACTCACATATTATATAAGTTAGTCAGTGGCAAAACTTACAAGAAACTAAAATGCATTAGAGTATTGTTATATTAAATATTAAATATTATCTAACACTAATGTTAAACTAAAAAAATGAACGGCTACCTCATTTTTAGGTAGATTCAAGAAAATAAAAGAACACTTTTCTTCTTTAATTTTACGTTATATTTAAATATTATCAGTATATATGTACTTAGCTAGATTTTGAGCCATATTTTTATTAAAATTACGTGTCTTGGGAATTTTGTAGAAGTTGTGCAAAACTTATGAAAACTATTTAATATGTGTATGGCTATATTTTTTTTTTTGGCCATAAATATATCGTATTATAAGTGAAATTTAAAATTGTAGAATAAATATTATCTATGATGCCGCRCATACGATCATTATTGTATATCTTTATTATTCGTTGTAAAAGACGACTAGCGAGGTTATCGTTTAAAATGATTATCGAATTTTGTTTTTAAAATAAATTTATCAGTTTTATGTTCAATACTTTATATTATACTTTGTATGTTTATATAATAGTATTTAAACAATTAAAAAATATAAAAAATTGACTACCTTTAGATTTTTAAAATCATTATAATTTAAATGTTTGCTATTAATATATTAAATGAGTTCCAGGTATTTTGTAGTAAAATCAACTCTCATTTTTGGATAGTAAATAATTTACGAACTAATAATTATGTTTTATCATAATAATTTAATATAACAATAATAAAATTAAAGTATACTTAAATGTGAAGTGTAAAATCGTCAATTAAAATCATGAAATGAATTTATCACGCAAACGAACCCTCGCAAAAAAAAAAAAATTGCACGATACACGAAGCTTAGTTTAGTTATAATATAACTATAATATTATATAATTGTTATATAATATAGCGTACCAATATATTACAATATAATGTAAAATGTCATATGCAGTGGAAAACACTTATAATGGAAACAATTTGGGTAAAATTATTGTCAACTGCTCTAGCAGGTCTCAGAAAAATATATAATTATTTTAAAAATATCTATTTTACTGCTRTTAGGTATGGTTGACACTGTCATAGCAGTGGAAAAATATTATATAATTGTTATAATTTATCCATAATTACACACTTTATTTACTAACTAATTGTTAGTTATATTTCTCTGACAGGTCCGACATATTTCCTTTTATTTCGATATATTCCAACACAATTCTTAAACTATAGAAACAATTTCAAATCAAACGTCCAAACTCTTAAATCATACATACTGCACCAAAAGTTTTTTACAGCATAATACCAAATTTTTTTTATAAAAYGACTCTTGAAGTACATTTAAATAGCCGTATGGGAGGTCAAATAAAATAAAAGCAAAATTAATGAAACTTACTCTTTAGTACATGCAAGTTTTAAAATGAGCGAAAATGAATCCTACAAACTATTATGATATAGGTAAAGGTAACTCATATTGTTTTATAAGAATTAAAAATTATCACAGTCATAATTATAATCATTGTACATTTTTCAAAATTATTATATATCATGAAACAAATTATATAACTTTGTAATATTTGTCATTGTTTAYCCAAAAATTAAATAATCCGGACAAATATTTGAAGATCATATAATTGTACMACAATATGATATATTTCAATGATTATTGCAAATTTATAAATGCTCTGTTCTCAAACTAGTCATCACGATGAAACGGTCTGAAAATCATATTAGAAAAAGCGTATATCGGACAATCCATACATAATAATGATGTGACCATAAACATACGACTATAATTTGTACCACACAAAAATTGCACATGACCAATCGAAAAGCTTACCTACACACTGTACATAATATAATACACAAATTATGGTACAATAGTTAATGAAAATAATGGACTTAAGTTAAGATTAGCAAACATGAGTTCACCAAATTGGAARTTAACAGTTAACAAACAATACATTTAACTCATTAAGTTTAAAATTAGTATGGAAATAAAAAATCAGCTAAACTCAGTTTGGAGAAATTAACCTACTTTTTAAATTAGTCTGCGGATCACATTATTAGGATTTTGTGGATATTTATTTAAGTAATATTTTTTATCAAGAAAAACAACAAGCATAAAATATTATTACTAAGTATTATCAGAGTGTTGGATTATTATTTTAAAATTTAAAACCGTGTATTTAGATATAGGTATTTGACCTATAAAATATAAAAACTAATACTATATTAATTTGATAGATTATTTTTAAATCAGCTGAATAAATTGACTAATATTTAATGCCTCCAGTGAATTAATCCAGTCGAGTTTGTGAGTCGATTGAAAAACAAAAAATGTTGATAACAAATTAATCTTTATAACAGGTCGCGATGTCTTCACGCTCACCCCACACCGTCTTTGATGATTATAAATAAATAAACAAATAAGTAGTATAGGTACTCACGACCCAATCGCAGTCATCCGGATGCGCCATCCGGTAAGCCAGATACTCGTCGGTGGTGTACCAGCCGTAGAAGATTGGCACGAACGCGATGATACCCGGCGCCACCCACGTGACGAGCAGCAGGAACGCCACCAGCCGCTTGGTGACCAGCACCGGATACTTGAGCGGCTTGACGATGGCGTAGTACCGGTCCACGCTGATGCAGCACAAGTGCAGTATGGAAGCCGTGGAGAAGTACACGTCACTCGAGTTCCACACGTCGCACATGAAGTAACCGAAAAGCCACTTGCCGCTGATCAGCTTGCTGGCGTTGAACGTCATCGCCACCATGGCCACCAGCATGTCGGCGAACGCCAGTGACACGACGAAGTAGTTGGTGATCACCCGAAGCCGAGGATGTCGAGCGACGGATACGATCACCAGCAGGTTGCCTCCGATCGATGTCAGTATAATGATGGCCATGATCGACGTTTTCAGCGCCACCGAAACGTAATCGGACCAGTCCATCATTTCGCCGGTCACCTGCGTATTTTCAATTACAATCATTATTATTAATCGAATAAACACTGTGAGTACACTGACCCGYGGGGTAAATGTGATAAAGTAGTGGAAAAGTTTGGCTAAGCAGTGGGTGGGTTCTTTGTGAATTTTAAGTGTTTTCACTCGTTATTGGCAAAGTGAGGTTAACGTTCTAGAATTCTAGATCTTTCGATATCCCGATAAATAACATAAACGAGTAAATACATAAAAAAAAAAACATTTTCCTTCCTTTTTACAGACTCAGGATTTTTAAATACAATACTCGTTGAAATAATATTAACCTTTGAATATTAAATGCTAAAAATTAATATAATTTCAACAACTTATTTAATAGGTACACAAATTATATTGGACATTATTTTAATTTAATTTATTTTATTCATTTTATTTATTATTGTAAAATATCCGCTACCAAGCACGATCGTTCAGTGAAATGTATTTGTATGAAAATAATCATCTCATCATACGCTGTAATTATTTCATATCGTTAGTACAATGAACGACGTGGATAAAAATATAACAATAGGAGAAAATCCAAAATCAAAAAGTTGTTTTATCGGACTGAATTAGGCGCATTATCGGACGGCATTCAACAATGAAATAATGAAAAAACTACGACTGAAGTATAGGCGACTTCTCGTGGAAGTATATTGTAATAGTTAGTGAAGGTACTCCGAAAGTGCACAACGTACAAAAAAAAAATACCGAGAACTTTGTGAATATTATATGTTTCATAAAGATTATTTTCAATCGTAATGTCGAGTCTATACTTTTTAATTATCCCCGTCAAACCAAGCGTTTAAAGCCGATTAACCCTCTGTATTGGATTAATTTGAAGAAAAAAAAAACCTTTCGTAAAATCTAAAAGTACAAACACTACACAACGATATTTTGCTATTATTAATTTACTGAAATTATTATAATAATATACGCGATCACATTAGGCCTCGGTCACACGAGCGTTTTACTGACGTCTGTTGTTAAATTATGCGATTTATTGYACGGCGGTCAMACACTTGACATCCGTTGGATTTACCGTCCGGTCGACGTCGATGACGTCCGATACGTGCTGCGACGGTCGTTATAACTATTAACGTCCGTTCTTTCAACGCTCGCGTGTGACCGAGGCTTTACTATGCTTTACAAATCATGATAACATATTTTAACATATTGTTTTCATATCAAAAATACAAAATTTTTGTAACCAAGTCTTTAATAATATTATCTCCTTGAATACTTGTGATTTACGAGATGATAAAACTAAAGAAGATATCTCATAATCTTTTCTCAGAAGTTCGGCACTGAAAGATTTACCTAGGGATCATAGGGTGTGGGTGGCTCAAACGATTAGGATATAATGCTAACGGCGCTAGCTAATGCTCATGTTATTCAATTTGTCAAGCTTTATGTAAATATATTATACAGAAAAAATATAGTATTATATATTATTAAATGTATAATTTGTGTAAGCTCTAAGAACAACAATTTCATACAAACAAGATAACGTATGCATAATATTGTATAATAATAAAATTATATAAACATTATTATTTACAAATAGTTGAGAGGGAATCGAGGAAGATCTAGCCCCCCCCTCAATTCAAAGATTAGCACTAAGCATATATCATTTTTATGAATTATTATAGAAGCGTGTTACCATAATAATATTGTGATAAAAATAATAGTGGACAAAAATAATTATAATTAAACATATATTGTTTAAAAATTCCAAAAATCATAGTTRGAATTTATTTATAATTTAAGCATAAAAATAGGGCGAGAATGCTTAAAAAATCACCGTATTTATATTTTTTAATGTAGGTACCTACGTCCAACATTTCAATAATTATAAAACTATYTTTTAACAATGTTACATAGTCTTTGAAGCCTTTCTCGTAATTTGTATATTTTGATGAACTGTCATCATGTCCTCTTACTCTGGTAAAATAGGTTTGGTGATTCAGACATATTATATGTTATTAATTACACAAACACACATAAATTACACGTGAGGGAGATAAGAATCTTACCGAAATGTTTAAATTTATTTCGTTTGTACTTTTCGTTTGGGCATTGGKAAAAAATAAATTTTAAAAACGTTTGGGGACTATAGTTTATAATATATTTTGATACGAATGATATCATGTAGAAATCTTATTATTTCAATTATTTGCTTTTAGTATTGAAACGCTGTCTTCGACGAGGAATTAAAGAAAAATTATACATTTTATCAAAATGATTAGTTTCACCGTAAAGGCGTAAATCAAATTATATTTCAAAAGTTAAAATACATTTACCATAATTACAAATAAGTAAAAGATGTATCAAATGTACACATGATTATTTAAAGGTAGATAGTTTAATTCAAATCTCTAAATTTTATTTTCCTTAATATGGACGAAATCAGAACGTTTTTATTTTTAGTTTTCACATCGATCTAAATACGGGAAGTTTAGCTGTGTACAAATTGAAATTACGTATACACGCAATTAATATTATTCTCTCTCTCAAACCGATATTCCGTTTTGGATAAACTCAAAATGTCATTATATGCAGATGGGACTTTCAAAACGTACTCAACAACTATATAGAGCAGAATTTTCTATGAGTAGGTTAATCGAAAATCTTTCGTACTCCTCGCAAACACCACCCGAGCCAATTAAGCCTGCATGTGATCCATTTGCAGAATAGTCACAACAAAATACAATATAAATATAGTAGTTAATAATGTTTTAACAATTTATCATATATTATGTTATAAAGATTTATCATATTTTATAAATATATTATGCTGTACGATTTATACCTACCAGAGTCGTTAGTGATTTTATGCCAAACAGTTAAAATAAACGTATACTTAAATCGCTTGAAAATATACCTGACACCCGGTTGTAGGTATCTATGAGACATTACCTGGTATCGTGTTGAACCAGGAACCGACGTGTCAAAGGCTGACGTTTATTAAACACGCGTGTCTTATCGCCTAAGTTCCGGGCAAATGAGCACGCACGTCACATACGGTCGAAGAGATAATCGCGACCGCTGTAGCATTAATAATATGCAGCCCAGTAATGGATTTACTAATTTTTTTTTCAGACGCTTTGCAAAATTTGTATCTTTCGATTTTTTTCCTATCAATATTAACGAATTTCATATCGATTTTTCGAAGCAACTTTTTTAAGATAGATGATCGGTAAGACGATAATTATTGTATCGTAACAGTAATTATATACCTATAGACGATAGGGTTTTAAGTTTAAATTGCTGCGTGACCAACGGCGCTAAGTTATTATGTAATATCCGTGGGAGGCTTATGACGGTCGGGATGGGCAACCAACGCTATAGAAAGGATAAAATGATCGGAAAATATGGTTATTACGCGGAAGATGACGACGACGACGACGCGATATTAAATTATAAGCCCTTCAAACCACCCGGCGCGCGTTACTGTTACAGCTGCATTTTTACCAGATCCGAATTTTTTTTTCGGAAAAAGGTTAAGTAGTCGTATTCAATGGTGTCCAGAAATATTTTTAGCGGTCCAATTTAATGGTATGTTGTTATCTTAAGATTGTTTGAGTAAAGTCAACAATGTTTTTAGTAATCAATTGACTCAAGTGCCTCGCAAGTTGCAATACAATAACATAACGGAAGATTAACAATAATATTGATAACTACTAAAAAATCACTATCAAAGACTGCTATACACATAATTTAATAAGCTACATAAATTATATAATAATTATTTAATATTTTACGGTGTAGGTTTACCAATTTGTATCACGCCGGACAGATTTTCATACTGCAATATGCATTGAACACAAGAAAAACGTAGGGATGGTTTACAATCTCAGTTAAGTATTTGAAATGGACGGAAGAGTACAAAAACATTCAGTCAGTTTTATTGACATTCTCAAAAATAGTTTTTTTTTTTAAAACACACATTCAACTTTTTGCTTAGTTATATACATTAGAAATAAAAACCTAACAGATATTCAGGAATCGCTTCAYGATATATGCAAGTTCAATCTACAAATCACTTATCTCTCACCCACATGTTGCTAATGATTTAAGCTATAATAATAATCTTTAATATGAAAAAAAAAACATAATTTAAATATTTCCAATTAATATCATGACAATAACTATCCGTGTGAAATTATTCAGTATTGTTGTCTGATTTATTAAAAAAATATATATTATCTACAATATTAAATAACCTTCTTACGTACATTCCAACAAGGTATAATTATAATACTGAGTCTGTATAATGTATACTTTATTTACATAATTTTGAGATTATGTTGAACTCTATAGGGATTAGCTCTAAGTTTGAATAAACTGACATTCGTATCAATGTAATCTCATATCTTTGTAAAACAATCTACTGTTATGGAATTAGTATACATAAATGATAAGCAAGTATTTCATTCAACTAGAGTGAAAATATATACTATAGTGGTGTATTTTTTTAGTGTGGTTATCACATAATTTATGTATGAATCTTATTCACTTCATGAAAAGATAATATAAGGCTGTCAGACTCCCAGTCGAATACCAAACGTCGTGTCAGACGGGACATTTGACATACCTGCAGTATTTACAGATAATAATCCTTAAAGTTAAAATAAGCAGTATTTTAAATTTTCACCATCAATTTTTTCTCACTTTATTTCTATTCCATTACAACAAAATATTATACTGTATAAACCGAAAAATATTACAACATTGATGCCATATAAAATAGCGATATAAATTCAAACGCTGTTTTGCCCTAATACTCTTAACACCCAAATATCAGGCACTAAGACTAATATTATAAATTCTAATTATGATTATCCTATGTAGAATATTATAAATTTTAAATGCAAATACTATAACTCAAAATCATCTAATATAAAWAATACCTGTTGGACCGTGGGATCGGTGCCGTTATCCATGACACTTAACCGGTAGAGTGAGTCCCTGGGATCGAGTGTCGTGACGATGGACGTGGGGGTGTGGTTGAACATGTCGTTACCATGTTCCATGACCGCTGTTGCGGTATAATAGGCGTCTGAGAAGTAACCGGAGTATTGTACTCGGTCACCGGCCGTTTAACCATACCGGCGAACAATCGTGTCGATCACGTWCGGTTCAGGACGTTACCGTGGCCGTCCGCTGACATACCGGACGGTATGCGGTACACAGTGGTATACGATCCTATAATACCGTGGTTATAATCGCTGAAGGTGGTACACCAGCCGAATGTTTTTGTGACAATKTTTTCGGAAAGTTGATATCACTGCAGATTTCAGTGTCACGACCAAATCGGTCTAGGTACAACGCCAAATTCTGTAACAAAAGAAAAACATATATTTAAAAATTATAACACTATATTTAATCATATTTACGTAGTGTTTTGGAAAATATCGAGGAAAATATGTAAATAGTATTACATTAAGTAAAAGATTCATTGTTGACTTAAAATGTTTACTTATATTATTGTTTTAAAATTAGTATCTCCGTCGAATTTTTTTTTTTTTAAACTTTACAAGACAAAATAAACACATCCATATTTAATATGTAATTTTATATACTGATTTTTAAAAATGTTTCAACATTTATAATAATATAGCTAATGTATTGTTRTTGCACAGCGATGTTGGTGTTATCAGATCATAACAATAAATGAATAAAAAACAAATAATACATATACGTTTTATTTATTATACAAGTTTTGAACGGGTTTAAATAAGATAAATGTGAGTTCAACATGGGCTTAGATTAGATAATATATGTGAAGTCTTACGAGGGTTTAGATGAGAAGTATATTTAGGTTGYATGTTGAGTATAAAAGTGGATACACAAGTTTCTACATGGTATGTATATGGATGTACGTCCCGTCACTAACTCGGCGCGATTCTTCATAACAAGTCTAGAGATCTYTCTGGTTTGTAAAGCTCTCCGTAWGTATAGTACTCTGTATGTGTAGTACTAAAAAGTTGAATAATTTTCTTTAGTTTTATACGGGCTTAATAGCAATATTACATCGCACTGGAGTACACGCACGTGTCTCGTTTTTGCTAAAAATTTTATTATTTATTTTAATAGATCGATTGTATTTCAATTTTTTATTACATAATATGCCATTAGAAATAAAAACGTACATGCACCTTTTTATAATTTACTAATAACGATTTACAAACGTTGGAAAACATTTCATAGTGATAACCGAAAACTCAAAGTTAGACAATATGAATACATAACGCAGTGACAAAAATACGTTCAATAAGATRGTTGAAAAAAAAATTACTTGGCTATATTGTTCGCGCAGTACGTTTTTTTTTCACCAATTCATTATACATTTACCGAGTATTGTTATATAATAGCTGATTTATGTGTAACAATATTTTTTTCTCCATAGAATCTTCAGTAACTAACAGTCATAGCCAGATTCCATGAAGATTGTCATTAAGTTTCTCGAGAATCTAAAAGGTTTTTACATTTTATATTATCTCTTGTCAATAAGATTCCTACACACAAAAGATAATTGTTAGTAAACCTTGTCAATMAACTCACGCCGTACAGTCAACTAGAGAATTAATTAAACGAGAATCGTATATTTTATTAAAAAGTTACCCTCAAACTGTACACATAATATACCTCCAAGAAATTCCAGCATTCATCGGGGTCGTTGTTTTTCCATCAAAATTTGAAATAACCATAAAAATCATTATTTATTTTTAGAATTATATCAGAAATTACATCAGAGTTATTAGTTTTACTATAGCCTGTGTTAAACTGTTATTGTTTGGTTTTTTTATTTCACTGAAAACGCTTTTGATACACGTAAACCGATTGAACATTTCTTGTACCTACATAAATGTACAAATATTTTTCTAACAGAGTAAAGTTGTACATAATCCAGAAATGTCCATTATTTTTCAAAAAATACGTGTGAAAAAAATAACATTATAATGAGATTATTAAAATATTTAAAGATATTTGTAGATTTTATACTTTGCATTGTACGAGTAGGTACCTGTGTGTATGATGCAAATTGAATTTATGCAAAATATATGAAGCACAAAGACGAAAATTGTTATCTTTTAAATTTTCATATTAATGAAAAAATTAACTACCTAATTTGTTCTATATATTATTACGTAAGGTGCAGCAAAGAATTAAGAAATTAAATACTAACTTCACACAAGCTTATACTATTAATATCGTGACGTATGGTAAAAAAGTGATTACCCCTAATTGAATCAAAAAATTCTAACAATCTTATAGGTGTTAATATCTACCCCCAAWAACTCATTCAATTCCACTTTGCAAACAGTTAAATTTAGCTTTACATTCAGATACCGGCCCAGGCACTTAAGAGGAGCAGGTGATGGTGTAGTGATTTAATGATCTGATAAAAAATAATAATATTAACAGATTAACAAAAAATATAATAAATAAATATACTTATGTATTGTATCATATCTATAGTACTACCTACTGCTGATTGCTGAGTAATGTTTTAGTGATAATACCATAATTCTACCTCATCAACTAACTACATCAAATTTAATACGGTTGATGTAAATAAATATTTTATGGATGGTCTGATAAAAAAAACTATATAGATTATTTAATATATAATTTTGCCATTTCTTTGTCACTGTGCTAAATTTGCATTTCACATTAATCAGGTTTGATTAAATAAAATAATGTAATTTGTTATAATTTTCAATGTTGAATCATTYTTCTGAAGTACGAGTTAATGACACGCTATTACTGGATCATGTCAGATACGGTTGATTATGATAATTAATTCATTGGGAATTCTATAATAAATTGCAATGACATGCGGTCAAATTGTCACGCGATCAAACATACGTGTCAGTTGCCTGGAAAAATGTGACCTCTTCCACACCACTCATCGTTTCCCCCCTCACTTAGCCTCACTTACCTATCACTGTCAACAGCAATGTTTAATGAACCGGAGAGATCAATTTTGACAATATCAAAAAGTGACTTTACAAAATGAGATTGTGTTATATAAATCAAACCTTTTGGAAACATTTTTTTGTTTCTGAATTACACATAACAATGTCATATCACTCATATCAGTGTGTAGTGAACTATACCTGAGCGCGATTAATTACGTATTTAGCAATGCGATTGAAATGTTAAATGGTTATATATGATAAATAATAATTACATTTCAGTACTACCTATGGATTTTACCCTAAAAACATTAGTTAAACATATTTTTTGTTTTTATATAATTATTTAAAATATTGATCATTCTCAATATTGGTGTTCTCGGCATTTTGGGGTAAAAGCTTTATTTATTGTAATTTGTAAGGTCTAATAAAATATACAGAAAAAATATTTTTGTCATGTTATACGTACAATTATATTGTCATACATGTTATACACACAATTATGTGAAATTTCGTTCGTGTGATGTATATAATAATATTATATATTGTTACATCCAAACATAACGTAACAGATAATACGAATATAATTTACGATTTTTCATACTTTAATMAATAGGTACATGCAATGGTGTGAATGAATTTTATTAAAGCACACTAGCCATCGAAGAATCAAGAAAAATTACCAAGTGAGAATTTATGAAAATAATGACTACATCAGAGTAGAGAAAGAAATTTAAAAAAAATGTTTCATTTTTAGACTAAAACCATATTGTAGTAAAATAAATACCACAAATATTATTTTTATTTTCAAAATAAAATAAACAGATTGAAAAAAAACAGTTTTGGTATAATACGTACAACTATAAGAGATTATATCTTTTATAGTTTCGTAATTTTTTAATCTTTTAATTCGTATAAACAATTGCTAAAAAGTTATATAATACTTAAGATGATTTTCATTGTATGTAACAGCTCTTGATTCAAGTATCGAAACTGCGGTCGATCATATAATTCAGGTCAAGGTGTGATCAATAGTTTATAAGTAGATGGAAATTTAAACAAGCCCATGAAATAGATTAGATTATTTGTACATATAAGGTCACCGATAACTGTAGAACAGTTTTATGATAATATAATAATACGAGAATAATATAATATAATAAATGTAAGACGGCGCGTCGTATAGGCAATTTAGSGGCATTTTTACCCAAAATATCATAATAGAATATTTCGTCTAGAATTGTAAAGCAAAAAAATAATTTAAAAAGAAATGTAATATGACGCGTTGACGTTTATTTCAGAGTACAATCATTTTCGTTTTTTTTAAAAAAAAAAGAAAATCTAGGTTGAATATATTATTCCATTTGTCTACATAATATACCTAGCATACAGAACACACGGTCTGATCAATACGCAACACCGCGCCGTTTCGCGTGTGTTATGCATGACTTTTGAATATTGCACGACGTTTCATCTCGATCAACCATACCATAATAGACGCGGATGCTCATAATATTTGATTCTCGTGGACTGCTGTAAACCAATGTCACTCATGTCACTAGCTCTCGGATGGGTGACCAAACGGGTTCTCAATAACAAATAATATTGCCCCACGTAAATACGAGCAGTTTCTCAACCAACTTTGATATCCTGCAAAAAATGAAC